TAACAAAAGGAAGACAAACAATCCAATTAAAAAATGGGCAAAGGACTCAAATAGATCCTTCTCAAAAGTGGACATACAGATGGCCAAGAGACGAATGAAAAAATGCTCAAAGTCACTGATCAGCCCTAGCTGGTTTGGCTCAATGGTTAGAGTATTGGCCTACAGACTGAAGGGTCTCAGGTTCAATTCTGGTCAAGAGCACATGCCTGGGTTGTGGGCTCAATCCCCAATAGGGGGTGTGCAGGAGGCAGCCAATCAATGATTCTCATATCTCTTTCCTCTCCTATATTTTTCTTTCCTTCTCCCTTCCTCTCTGAAGTCAATTATATATATACATACATATATATATATATATATATAATAAAAAATAAAAGCTTTATAAAAATAAAAGTCACTGATCATCAGAGATGCAAATTAAAATGACAATGAGTTATCACCTCACACCTTTTCAGAATAAATACCATCAACAAATTAAAAAAATGGTAAGTGCTGGTAAGGATGTGGAGAAAAGGGAACCCTAGTACACTGCTGTTGGGAATGCAGACTTGTACAGCCAAAACTGGTTTGGCTCAGTGAATAGAGCATCAGCCTGTGGACTGAAAGGTCCCAGTTCGATTCCCATCAAGGGCATGTACCTTGGTTGCGGGCACATCCCCAGTAGGGGATGTGCAAGAGGCAGCTCATTGATGATTCTCTCTCATCAATGTTTCTGGCTCTCTATCCCTCACTCTTCCTCTCTGTAAAAAAATCAATAAAAATATATTTTAGAAAATGCTGTGGTACATTTATACCATAGGATACTATACAGCAGTTAAAAATAACTTCTTACCCTTTGAAACAGCATGGAGGGACCTGGAGAGTATCATGCTAAATGAAATAAGTCAGAGAAAGACAAGTATCAAATGATTTCACCCACATGTGGAATCTTAGTATCAAAATAAACTGATGAAAGGAGTGAATCCAGAGATATGAAAGTATGTAATAGAGTGCAGAATCTCAGAGGGAAGGTGGGGGTAGGAGGTATTCAACCAAAGATCATGTAAGCATATATGCATAACCCATGGACACAGACAATAAGGTGGTGAAGGCCTGGGGCAGGGTGTGTGTGTGTGTGTGTGTGTGTGTGTGTGTGTGTGTGTCACAGGAGGGGGCCTGGAAGGGGTCAATGGGGGGGAAAAGGGGACATATGTAATACTTTCAACAATAAAGGATTATGTTTACAGAGTTCCTATATGATTGATTTATATTGTTTTCTTTTATCTTTTTATTGTTTTTAATATATTTATTGATTTTTCACAGAGATGAAGAGAGAGGGATAGAGAGCCGGAAACATCGATGAGAGAGAAACATCGATCAGCTGCCTCCTGCACACCCCCCACCGGGGATGTGCCCGCAACCAGAGTACATGCCTTTGACCAGAATTGAACCCGGGACCCTTCAGTCCGCAGGCCGATGCTCTATCCACTGAGCCAAACCTGTCCTGGCTCTTTTATCTTTTTAAAGGTGAGAAAACTAAGACCCAGTGATTCAAGAAGTAACTTGTCCAAAGTCAACTAGCTAAAAAGTGAGCAGAACTGAGTTTAGAATCCTGGTGTATCTCTCCAGAACCCACTCATTAAAAAAAATATTTTATTGATTTTTTTACAGAGAGGAAGGGAGAGGGATAGAGAGCTAGAAACATCGACCAGCTGCCTCCTGCACAGCCCCTACAGGGGATGTGCCTGCAACCAAGGTACATGCCCTTGACCGGAATCGAACCTGGACCTTTCAGTCCACAGACCGACGCTCTATCCACTGAGCTAAACCGGTTTCAGCCAGGACCCACTCATTTTTATGCAATAGAGCTTCTCTGGATTAATATTACACCATTAACCATCCCCTAGATTGTCTCGCCTCAACTTGAAACCAGGTATTCTCCATCAGAATGGTCAAAGATCCAAACAGGTGTTGTTGAGAAGGGCAGGCAATATACAAAAAGGTATCCCGCCGAAACCGGTTTGGCTCAGTGGATTGTCACTCTGCGGACTGAAAGTTCCCAGGTTCTGTTCCGGTCAAGGGCATGTACCTTGGTTGCAGGCACATCCCCAGTAGGGGGTGTGCAAGAGGCAACTGATTGGTGATTCTCTCTCATCAATGTTTCTGGCTCTCTATCCCTCTCTCTTCCTCTCTGTATAAAATCAATGAAATATATTAAAAAACAAAACAAAACAAAAAGGTATCCCAACTGAGACTGAACAAATTGAACATGTAAAGAGAGAAACAGGGGCATATAAATAATCAGAAGGTGGAAGAAGGGTGCACAAAATACTGGTTAAGAGAAAGAGAAAGCTGGGTTTGAGAAACTGGGAAAACTCTTGGTTTTATCTTCGTGTATAAAGAGAGAGCAAAGATAACCTCAAGGCCATGTGGGCAGTCAGGAAGGATAAGGTTTCTGGCAAAGTAAATGAGGCAGGGGAGGATACAACTCCCAGTAAGGCTAGGAAAGGCTTCGTGTGGGAAAGAAGAAAGGCCCAAAGCAAAGAGGCAGACTGGAGTAGGCACTGGACACCAAACCTTGTTTCTAAATCTGTGGCAGGACTCCTTCTAGCCTGAGCCTCCACTAGTACCTCAGATACTAAACACTCTTCAGCCCTAGGGGTAGGAGGAGCAAAGTGGGGAGTGGAGATTGTAAAATGCTCAGACTATAATGGAGACTGAAAATGGATCCTGGCACACATTTTTAAAAGGCAGTAGGCCCAAGGCTAGTGCCCCTTCCCCCTACCCCACTATCCAGCTTCAACCTCAGCCGCACCCACATTCTAAGGACCATCCAAGAGGGGAGCCTACGTGAGCTTGCACGTGGGTGCTCGCGCGTGTGAGAGGCAGAGGGACAGACTTAAGACAAAAAGAGACTGGGAGGGAGTATGAGCCTAGGAGAGGGAGTGGGTAGTGGGGGAGGGAGGGAGGAGAGGGAAAAGGGAGTGTGTGGGGGGGAACAGGTCGACCAGGATGGGACGGAGAGAGAGGGGGAGGGGAGGGAGAGGGAGAGGGAGAGGGAGAAGGAGAGAGGGAGAGAGGGAGAGAGGGAGGAAGGGAGGGAGGGAGAGAGAGAGAGAGAGAGAGAGAGAGAGAGAGAGAGAGAGAGAGAGAGAGAGAGAGAGAGAGAGAAGCTAAGGGCCTTGATGAGGAAATCTACTGAAGAGATAAAGCAGGGAGCCCCTGCTTGTCTCTGGGAGATCTCAGAACTTACCCTAACCCTTGGGGCGCGGGGGAAGGGGGAGAGTGGCTTTGCAGGACCTGGTTTTGGAGTCTATGGGAAGTAACAGTTACTGCATAGGCGTTGTTACTGAGCCAGAGCCATTTATCCCGCCCTGGGTAGCTGGAGAGCAAGCTCAAGACACCCCACAACTATGACTCTCAGAATGGTTGGGGGGAGGGGGCCGGGGCTGTAAACGGGGGGGGGGGGGGAGGAGGAGCACGTGAGGGCTGGGTCTCTACCTCCCCTCACCCTCTGCTGTCACTCATTACCCCCAACAGTCGCCCAGGGGGCGGGCCCAGGAGAGGTGGGGTTGGGGGGAGGGTAATCTTGGCTGGCGCTTGCTGCATGGCGTAGGTAGGGACTGCTGAGGGGGGCGGACGCCGAGGGATTGAACACGAGTGGGAAGCGAAGAGACAGAGGGAGGGGGAGGGGACCGGGAACCATTTGAATGAGAGGAGGGGATCGCGGGCAGAGTGGGCTCCAGGAGGTATAGGGCGGGCACGGGTGTGAGGGGGGCAGACTCTTGAGCCAGGTAAGGGAAGCAGGTGAGTTGATCTGTTTTTTTGTGATTTAGTGTACTAGGCCCTTCGGCGGAACGAGGGTGCCGCCTTTCCCGGGGGCGGGCTTCAAGGCTCCAGAGCCTATATTTTCCTCTTCAACTAACGGGGCCCCGGGCGGGGGCTCAAGCTCCATCTCCAACAACGAGGCTCCACTCCACAATTTCCAGGCGGCCACTGGGCTGGGAGTCTCGCGCCGGGGGCCGGCGCTGTCTCGCGAGCCCCCTCCTGGAGCCAGCCAATGGGCTCGGTTGCTGGCGCCGCCCGCCCGCCTGGTGCAGAGCGCTAGGCGCAGCGAGCTGCGCTGCCATTTAAAGGGGCCGCGACCCCTGTCCCGGCTGCTGGGGAGGGAGGTGGAGAAGGAGCGCGGGGCCGTCTCCGTCTGCAGTTCTAGGCTTGTAGCCTTTACACTAACCCTGCCGCAGGTAGGGGTCGGGCCTGATCTAGCCGAACCGGACCTGCAGGCGGGATTTGAAGAAACCGGGAGGGGGGTCTAAGAGAAATCGTAGCTCCAAAATGTCTTCCTGTAAATGCCTGAGGTGGGGGGTGGGCAACAGGAGAAGGGCTGCGAGAGCTATGGGGAAGGGTGACGAGGCTGAGGAAGTGGGCGAACTGAAATGAAAGGTAACTGGGGGGAGGGGTTAGGAAGGGCAATTTGTGGGGGCGAGGGAAGGGCTGAGGGAGGGCCTTGCAGCGCGGTGAGGGGGGTGGGGCCGGGGTAGGTAGAGACCGGGGGGGTGGGGGCTGGGGGGCTCCAGGAGCGAGTGGAGGGGGTAGAAACTGATATCGCGGAGGCGGGAAGGCTCCTGGTGGGTAAGGCCCTAGGCGACTCGAATCGGGCGTTCAGCCTGAGTTGGGGGTGGGGGTGAAAGGTAAAGAGGGAGGGAAACCGGGAGTCGCACTGGGGTGGTGGGGGCGGGCGGGCTGATACGGCCAAAGACTACTGCCTGGCGAGTGTGGGCGCAGGGCCAGGGCGGGGAACGCCTCTCCCTACAGGGGGCGCTGTTTGTAGTGTGGTGGGGGGGGAGTGGTCATTTGGACTAAGCCTGTGGAAATGCTCGCCGTGTGTGGTGGGGGCTGTTCGTGAGAAATCCGAGTGGATGATGGGGTGTGTCCCAGAGCCTATATAAGAAGGAATTCTGGCGAAGACCACCTCTTCTGCCCCCTCTTCTACCCTAATCTACAGCCCATTTCCAGCCGTCCTCATGGACCCCAGTGAATTCCCCAGTCCGTTTGACCCGTTGACCCTGCCAGAGAAGCCCCTGGCTGGAGACCTTCCAGTAGACATGGAATTTGGAGAGGATCTGCTGGAATCTCAGACTGCCCCAACTCGAGGATGGGCGCCCCCTGGCCCTTCTCCATCCTCAGGAGCCCTGGACCTGCTTGATACCCCTGCTGGCCTGGAAAAAGACCCTGGAGTTCTGGATGGAACCACTGAGCTGCTGGGGCTGGGGGGGCTGCTCTATAAAGTCCCCTCCCCCCCAGAGGTGGACCATGGTCCCGAGGAGACCCTTGCGTGGGATGCAGATCAGACCCTAGAGCCTGGACCAGGGGGCCAGACCCCTGAGGTGGTGCCACCTGACCCAGGGTCTGGGGCGAACCTCTCTTCACCCGAGGGGCTGCTAGAATCTTTGGCTGCAGATTCTCCAATAAATCTTCAGTCCCCACATATGGAAGAGGAGGAGACCACCTCCAGAGCCACGGGGAGAAGGGGCTCCCCTGGGCTGGAGGAGGATCTTCCCCAAGGGCAGCCACAGAGCCCAAATGGCCCCCCCAGCCCTTCAGTGGGAGAGAGACTGGGGGATGGAATCAACAGTTCTCAGACCAAACCTAGGGGCCCCAGCCCCCCTGCACACCCTTCGTTACCAGGTAGGTTGTCTTCTCGCTGGAGAATCAAGGTTGGAGAGGGTGTGAGTGAGGAGGGGCTGCTGTGGGGGGGGGGTGGGAAGGGGAGGAGGAGGAGGTTTGAGAGATTGAGAGGATGTGTGTGAAGGAGTTGGGGGGTTGGGAGGGAGAACGAGGGGTCTGGGGAGGCTCAGCTGCTGTGCAGGAGGAATCGGGGTGAGGTTTCAGGTGGGTTGGAAAGTGAATTTGGTGGAAGAGATTCCCTTTTTCATATGCGAGTGGTCTTTTTGGTGCCAGGTCCTTCAGGATGTGGGGAGGACTCCAGGCTTCTTGGTTCTAAGATCTTTCCAGATGGTTTGTTCTAAATGAGAGTGGGGATTCTGGGTTTTATGAATGCTGACTAGGTTCTGGAGCCTCCGGCGGCATCATGAATTCAGGGGAATGGTAGAAGTGCAGGGCCTAGGATGAGTCTCTGAGAGGGGAGGGACAGCCTAGACTAGCAGAGGCTAATTTCTCCCCTGTTCTGCCTAGTGGTATCTCTCCTAGGCTGTGACCAGGGTCTTAGCGCTTATATAACCATATGAGTCCAGAGGACCTACCGTCTCCCCTTGCTACCTACCTTTGGGGAATTGCATTGTTTTTGTTGGCAAACTATAAATTTTGGATGAAAGGTATGTGACCTCTGCTTCTTTGACTCCCAGTGATTGGGACAGAAGAGTAGGATTTTTTTTTCCTATGGAGAGCAGCTGCACCACCACCCTCCCCTCGGTGCAGAGCTTGAGGTAACCCCGAGAGGGGCCCCAGGAAGGCACTTGCATTTTTCCTCTCAATTTTGAGTGAGTTCTTCCCCAGGAATGAAGTTGGTGCAGGAAGGGGGTGTGAGAGCAGGTTGAAGATTTAGGCTGCTTTCTGCTTCCTTTGCAGGAGATGGCCTGACTGAGAAGCCGCCTGAGAGGGTGAGGGGGGAGGGGATTGGGAGGAGTCTGGTTCCCCCTAGATCTCTAAGAAGGACAGACCCTTCATTTTCCCTCCCAGATCTCCAGAGGGGGTGTGTGAGGAGAGCTAGGAAGAGGGAGGGAGCCCTTAGCTATCGCTGCTTAAGGTGAAGCCCAGCCTCCTTTTCTCCTCTCCTTCTACGGGCTGGGCCAAGGGTCCCTACTCTCCCTTCTCCCTCCTATTTCTGTGCCCCCCGAAACCCTGTGCTAGTGTAGCTGGCCCTTCAAGCCTGTCCCTGGCACCAGCCTCCAATTCCCTCCCCATGTTTCCAAGGTACAGAAGAGAAGTGAGCGCGTTAGAAGAGTAGAACCTCCAAAACCTGAGGTTGTGGATTCCACTGAGAGCAGTGAGTAGGACTTGAGGAAATGTGACCCAGTGGGATGAGTGGGAAGTGGCCGCCATGGATCTCCCCCGCTCCATGCAGAGTGTGACGTGCTATCTGTGCTCTGGGTTGGCATGGGAACCGGGGGCAGTGGAGGTGATTGAAAACAAGAGCAGTGAGAATGGAGTTTCCTGTTTCAGCTCTGCAATCCCCATCCTTAAGAATCTTCCCACTTAGAGCCCTCCTAAGGGAGCGTGACACCAGGGACTTAAGTTATCAATGTGATGGGGTGGGGGAGGAGATAAAGGCAAGAACTGAGGGGATCCCCGGAGCAGTAGAACTCCTGTTGGTCAGGGGATGGTTGGAAACATGGTCTGGTGGCCTTTTCTCATGCGCCCCCACCCCCCTCCTCAGTTCCAGTATCAGATGAGGATTCTGATGCCATGGTAGATGACCCCAATGATGAGGATTTTGTGCCATTCCGGCCCCGGCGCTCTCCTCGCATGTCCCTACGCTCCAGCGTGGCACAAAGGGCCGGGCGCTCTGCGGTGGGCACCAAGATGACTTGTGCGCATTGCCGGACACCGCTGCAGAAGGGGCAGACGGCCTATCAACGCAAGGGGCTGCCTCAGCTCTTTTGTTCCTCATCCTGTCTCACCACTTTCTCCAGAAAGCCCTCGGGCAAAAAGACCTGTACCTTCTGCAAGAAGTACGTGAGGGTACTGGGGTGTGGAAAGGGCAGGCCTCAGGCCAGGAATAATGGGCGAGACAGAGACTATGTTGGCAAGAACCTAGTGGGGCTTGGAGAGCATTTGCTCTGTGGTCCTTGATCCCAGGGGAAGGCTGGAAGCTGATGAAACAAATGAATGTTCAAGCCTGTTCCCATCTGCAGGGAGATCTGGAACACCAAGGACTTGGTGGTGGCACAGACTGGTGCGGGAGGCTCCTTCCACGAGTTCTGCACATCCGTCTGCCTCTCCCTGTATGAGGCCCAGCAGCAGCGCCCAATCCCCCAGTCCGGGGATCCTGCCGATGCTACTCGCTGCAGCATATGCCAGAAGACTGGAGAGGTGAGGAAGTTCGGTGGGGGCCGGTGTACAGAGCCTGGCCAGTCCTGACCTGCCCCTGCAATCCTGGGGCTGCAGGGGCCAGGCCCTGTGGAGGAGGGGAGGGGGAGGGAAGGCAGCCGTTGTGAGGGAGTGTATTCAAGATTAGAGCTTCTCTAGGATGCGTGCAGCTGGCCTTCCTTGCCTCCCAGGACCTCACCATCAAGTCGGCAGCCTGATGTGCAGGTTGGGGGGGTCCCTGGGAACCATGTATGCTGTGAAGGTCTAGGGTGAGACGGGGTGGGCTGTCCTCGCTTTGGGGTGGGTGGTGGTGGTCAGGCCCCAGCTCAGGATATGTGTGTGTGTGGCAGGTCCAGCATGAGGTCAGCAATGGCAGCGTGGTGCACCGGCTCTGCAGTGATTCTTGCTTCTCCAAATTCCGGGCCAACAAGGGACTGAAAACCAACTGTTGTGACCAGTGCGGGGCTTACATCTATACCAAGACCGGGAGCCCGGGCCCCGAGCTCCTCTTTCATGAGGGCCAACAAAAGCGGTTCTGCAACACAACCTGCTTGGGGGCGTACAAGAAGGTGGGGCCGAGGGAGTAGTGCGTTAGAGGGCTGTGGAAGGGGGTGTGGTTCTTGGGTGATAAATAAAGGTGCCTGATGGGGCGAGGCTGGGAGGAATAAAACCAATAAAGGGGGTTTCAATTGTATCTGTTATGTTTTATTTTTTGAAGCTGGCTGGTAGATACACAGGTCTTTGTTATATCATCATCTATACTTTTTTGTATGCTTGAAACATTTCATGTTTTAAACATTTAAAAAATAAAGTGAAGGGACAAATCCAGCCTCAGCCTCTCCTTCCCCATCCTCACAGAAAAACACACGTGTGTACCCCTGTGTCTGGTGCAAGACCCTGTGTAAGAACTTTGAGATGCTATCACATGTGGATCGTAATGGCAAGACGAGCTTGTTCTGTTCCCTCTGCTGTACCACCTCTTACAAAGTGAAGCAGGCAGGGCTCACTGGTAGGTGCAAAGCCCTCTTCTCAGACCCCTGCTGGCCTTCCTTCTCCCCTCCCATCCCATACTCCCCTCTTCTTCTAAAGTAATCCCTGCTACCTGACCTCAGCCCCAACCACATCTTCCCGTGGATTTCCTGTTCCATCTCTCCATCTCTGCACTGCCTTACACTTTCTGTGCTCTCTCTCTCCTCTCTCTTTCGCTCTCCTTTTCTCTCTATGCCCCAGGCCCTCCCCGACCCTGCAGCTTCTGCCGCCGCAGCCTCTCTGACCCCTGTTACTACAACAAGGTCGATCGCACAGTCTACCAGTTCTGCAGCCCCAGCTGCTGGACCAAGTTCCAGGTACTTCAGACCCTGGACCAGGGATAGAGGGTGTGGCGCATAGAGAGGGTATGAAAATCGGGGTAGGTAGGCCTGGGCAGAGCAAAGAACGAGCCTGACCTCCCCTCCCCACCACCACCACACACTTCTTGCCCCTCCCTTATTTGTCTTCCTTCCCTCCAGCGTACAAGCCCCGAAGGGGGCATTCACCTGAGCTGTCACTACTGCCACAGCCTCTTCAGTGGCAAGCCTGAGGTCTTGGACTGGCAGGTAAGACCCCCACCCTGCCCATATCTTGCCACACGACTAGACGTATGTCGGAAGGGGTCCTTCCACTCGGCTTTTGCCAGGTCCCGATGTCACAGCACTCTCCTCCATGCCCTGTGACCCAATCTTAGGACCAGGCGTTCCAGTTCTGCTGTCGTGATTGCTGTGAGGATTTCAAGCGGCTTCGGGGTGTGGTGTCCCAGTGTGAGCATTGCCGGCAGGAGAAGCTCCTGCATGAGAAACTCCGGTTCAGCGGGGTGGAAAAGAGCTTCTGCAGCGAAGGTAAGGAAACGGAGAAGAGGTCAGAGGCCTTGGGCTACACAGCAGGGAGACTGGCAGAGAAAGGACGAGGGCTTGGGATACGGTCTTGGGGCAAGGGTCTTCTACTCAGGATGTGCGGGTCCTTGTCCATCCCAAGGCTTTGGGCCCAAGAGACTGTCGGGAAGAGCTTTCGGTTACCACCTTGAAAAAAAGGTAGGTCTCGAGGCCATGGAGATTTCTGTGTCTCTGGATTCTTTCCAGGCTGCGTGCTGCTGTACAAACAGGACTTCACTAAGAAGCTGGGACTGTGCTGTATCACTTGTACTTACTGCTCCCAGACCTGCCAGCGTGGAGTCACTGAGCAGCTGGACGGCAGCACCTGGGACTTCTGCAGTGAGGACTGTAAGAGCAAGTACCTGCTGTGGTACTGCAAGGTAAGGGGAAGGACAGAAAGGGGGGAGATGGCAACAGGGTTGTTGTGCTGTGATCGGGTGTGGGCCAATCTCCAGGGAGGGGGCTCCAGCTGACCAGCCTCCAAAGGAAGAGCTTATCTCAGGGCAAAGGGCTCAGCATGTTTTAGGGATGCAGGTCTGATCATCCTGTCAATACCCGCAGGCTGCCCGGTGCCATGCCTGTAAGCGACAGGGGAAGCTGCTAGAGACCATCCACTGGCGCGGGCAGATCCGTCATTTCTGCAACCAACAGTGTCTGCTGCGCTTCTATAGCCAGCAGAACCAACCCAACTTGGACACCCAGAGTGGGCCCGAGAGCCTCCTGAACAGTGAGTCCCGGGCAGGAGGCACTCTGTTAGAACTAGCCTGGACTCTAATCCTGGGCCCAGCCCCTCTCTTCTTCTTTCATCTCATCTCTGGCCAGGGCACCTGGTACTGTGCTCTCTTTTAGCTTCTGGACTGTGCAGATACTGGGGGGGGGGGGGTCTTGTTTAAAGGTTTACAGAGCTACCTTCCACTGAGTTTCTATAACGGATGTATTTTTAGGGAACGGGTACCAGGTAGGATGGGGGATGTGGGGACTGTGGTTAGTTTTCACAGAGAAGGAAGCATCAGCATAAGCTCAGCCTTTAGTGAAACTGAAGGCCATTATTGTTTCAAGACTATTATCCTGGCCCCTCTGGGGTATTCCAGGGGTACCAAACTCCTGAAGGCCATGAAATGGAAGGGCTCAAATTATGGGTCATTGGGGAAGCTTAATCTTTTTCATTCTCTGTGTCAGCCAGGGCAAAGAATCTTCTTGGCCACTGTTTCTGGAGCCTAGAGAATACTAGGCCTGGGGTGGTAAGGAGGAGAAATTCTAGACTTCCTGTTCCCATTTGATGTACCACTTAAGGAAGCTCTCCTGGAACAAGATGATGAAAATGGAGAGCTGGTTCCACAGAGGAAAACATTCATTTGTTTTGATTTATAGGTCAGTCTTCTGAGGCGAAGCCCCAGACAACCTCTCAAACCAAAGTTGAGAACAGCAATACAGTGAAGACACCAGAGGAAAATGGGAATCTGGGCAAGGTCAGGGCAAAAGCCAGGGGGAAGGATGGTCTCAGAGGAGGGTCTAGCATTTGGTGGCACTAATGTTCCTTTGTCTGCAGATCCCTGTGAAGATCCGGTTGGCTCCCTCTGCTTCTACTCCCCCTCCCTCTGCACCACCCCCAGCCACACCCCGCAAAAACAAAGCTGCCATGTGTAAGCCTCTGATGCAGAATCGGGGGGTCTCCTGCAAAGTGGAGATGAAGTCCAAAGGGAGTCAGACAGGTGAGCCAGGATACTTAGATGCCACAGGTTTTATTTTATAGTTCTAGGCCTGCAGCCCTAGAGCTAGACAAGGGGGTTTCTAGGAGGATGAAGTCTTATGGATATGGTAATCTTAGAATCACAGAGTTGACTCTCTACCTTTGATGCAAGGGCAGTTTGGTGACAATGAGCTTTGGGGATGACAGGCAAGTATCGGGTAGTGGGTCAGATGTGACCCACCTAACACAGGCTCTGAGTAGACCCCTTTCTTGTCAACAGAAGAGTGGAAGCCACAGGTGATTGTGCTGCCCATCCCAGTGCCCATCTTCGTGCCAGTGCCTATGCATCTGTACTGCCAGAAAGTCCCGGTGCCTTTCTCAATGCCCATCCCGGTAAGTTGCCCGTTTGGAATTGACCCGCCACTCTCCCTTACTCTCACCACCTGTCCGCTCATCCACTGGTTTAGTTCTTGGTGTTTAGTTAGGATTTATGTCTCCAGGTACCTGTGCCCATGTTCCTGCCCACTACCTTGGAGAGCACAGACAAGATTGTGGAGACTATTGAGGAGCTGAAGGTGAAGATCCCTTCCAACCCCTTGGAGGCTGACATCCTGGCTATGGCAGAAATGATCGCAGAGGCTGAAGAGTTAGACAAAGCTTCATCTGACCTTTGTGGTATGCCATGGACAGCAGCAATGAAGGAGTCATGGTTTTCCTAGTCTGTCTCTGGGAGTGGTCGGAATCAGCCCCTGAAAGCCTGTGAGGGAGCTAGGTAAGAGATGCGGTGACTAAGCCAACTTCTCTTCCAGATCTTGTAAGCAACCAGAGTGCAGAGGGACTTCTGGAAGATTGTGACCTGTTTGGGCCAGCTCGAGATGATGTCCTGGCAATGGCTGTTAAGATGGCCAATGTCTTGGATGAACCTGGGCAAGACTTGGAGGCAGACTTCCCCAAGAGTGAGTGGAATTCAAGGCATGCCCACTGGGTATGGTAGCATTTGTGCCATAAGGAAAGGAGTTTTTTTTGTGTGTGTGTGACCTGGAGCATGACCTTAACAGTGCTCCTTGTGACCAGTGACAAAAGGCTGTTAAGGGAGTAGTAGATTTTACACTTGAGTCTTCTTTTGTTTTATTTATTTATTTATAATGTATTTTTTATTAATTTCAGGGAGGAAAAGAGAGGGAGAGAGAGAGATAGAAACACAAATGATGAGAGAGAATCACCGATTGGCTGCCTCCTGTACGCCCCGCACTGGGGATCTAGCATGCAACCTGGGCATGTGTCCTGACTGGGAATTGAACTGAGCCATATACCGGTCAGGCTTGTTTTGTTTTAATTGTGGTAAAACACATAATATGAAAATTTCCACGTTTGAGTATGCAGTTTGGTAGTGTTATGAACTTTCCCATGGTTGTGGATTTTTACATCTCTGTGCCTCTGAGCATATTCTTCATCTGGCTTTGCTGGTTCCTACTGAGTGCAATTAGAACTGTCTGAAAAGCTTTTCTCAAGTCAGGTGTACAAGTAGCAGGGGTGGGGTGGGAGGGCTACAGCATTGAGATCTTAAAAATCACTTTGCTTCCTTTTACCTCTAACAGATCCTTTGGACATTAACCCCAGTGTAGACTTTCTCTTTGATTGTGGCCTGGTAGGGCCTGAGGATGTGTCTACTGAACAAGACCTTCCCCGAACCATGAGGAAGGTGAGGCCTGGGGCTGCCGTATCCACAGAAGAGGGATGGAGGCTCAAACGGCCAGGGATGGGGTACTTTCATAGCCAAGTCAGCAGCTTTAGTTTGACCTTCGCTGGCTGACCTCCTTTCTCCATCATTCAGAGCACACACTTTGTTCTCTCCCCAGTTCCCGAAGTCATCAGAGCTACTCCTGGGGCTCTTTGCTTCCATAGCTGTTTTTTGACATCAGTCTCCCACTTCCCTGCTGATAAACACTGGCCTGACGAGTTTCCATGGTGTTCCTGACCTTATCTCCTTGAACCCACCTCCTTTCTTTTTCCCTCCAGGGTCAAAAGCGGCTGGTGCTTTCAGAGAGCTGTTCCCGGGACTCCATGAGCAGCCAGCCAAGCTGTACTGGACTTAACTATTCATATGGTGTCAATGCTTGGAAGTGCTGGGTGCAATCAAAATATGCCAATGGAGAAACCAGCAAGGGTGATGAGTTGCGCTTTGGCCGTAAGTACCCAGGGGAGGGAAGTGGGGATGGGAAGAGGAGGGGAAGGGGAAAAGAGCAGGGCTATGATTCAGCTGAAGATGTCTATGAATGATAAGGCTGTCATTATATAAAGGGTGTCCTGTGAACATTGGGAGGAGTTGAAAAATAAGGGGAGATGCCTAGATTTCAAGGCTTAGGGCTCTTTGGGCAATTGGTGGTTTGTTCTGAAGCTGGACATGACTAAGTGAGAGGGAATTAATGGTGGAGCTAAATGAAATTCTCAGTGTGAAGTTTTCTTAATCCTATCACCTTCACTACATATCACTGCAGCGAAACCTATGCGTATCAAAGAAGATATTCTGGCCTGCTCAGCTGCTGAGCTCAACTATGGTCTGGCCCAGTTTGTGAGAGAAATCACTCGACCCAACGGTGAAAGATATGAACCCGACAGCATCTACTACCTGTGTCTTGGCATCCAACAGGTATCCCTTACACACCACCTCAGTTGTAGTCACTTTCAACACAGCAACACAACAGGCAAGGTCCCAGCAGAAATTATTCTGTCCACTTCCTGGTCCTCACTTTGCTATCCTGAGCAGGCGGCCTTTTGTCTCCTACTCCAAGCAGGACAACATATGTCAATACTCTTCTAAAATCAGAGCTGTGTCCCAGGACTGTTGGCCAAGGAGCTGTCTTCATTGCTCTCTGGGTCCCCTTGGTAATCCTCAAACCCATTCCAGGAGGGGAGAGGTGGGTAGAGCTGGGCTCCTTGGGTGGTGGGGTAATGTTTAGAACCCGCTGGGAAAGTCAGCCATGCATCGTTACCTGACAAGGAGTCTGTGCTTGTGAAGAAGTTGCTGGGTCACATCTCTCCCATGTCGCCTCCTTCCAGCAAGGCCTTGGTGCCTCAGCGTTGTAGGTATATCTGGGGAAAAGCACTCTGGGTCATGCAATTGAGCAGCTATTTACCACCATCTCCTAATTATCAAGGTTGCTGTGCCTGGGGCCTTTTGGTAGCACTGTCTTTCCTCTAAGACCTAGAGCCTAGCTTCATGTGTGTCTCTTTTTCCTTCTCTAGTATCTACTGGAAAATAACCGAATGGTGAACATTTTCACGGACCTTTACTACCTGACTTTCGTTCAAGAGCTCAACAAATCTCTGAGTACCTGGCAGCCCACACTCCTTCCCAACAGTAAGGGACAGGGACTTAGCAACCCCTACACCCTTCACTCCATTTTTCAGAGACACCATCCCAAAAGCCCCAGGATGTTTGGTCTGCCACTCTTCACAAAGAGTCTGAGGGCAGGAGCTTGTAGCTGGGTGCCTCGGAGTTGAGAGGTTGAGCACGCAGAGCCCCTAACCTTGAACATGAGGACGGGATTAAGACTTAAGTCTGAACAGCTATTTCTGGAACCACAAAAAGCGGCCCGAGTTTGGGTGGTAATAGAAAAAACAAGGAAGAAGTTGTGGGACTCCTCAAAGTTTACATCTACCTGCCTATAACTTGTGGGTGGTGAGAGAAGCTCCAAATGCAGGTAGAAACTATATCAAAAACCATCCAGTCCTATTGTGTGATACAGCAGGGTGTCAGGGTTTTATGCACAGTGGCAACTTACTGAACAGAAATGCTTATGCGCAGAATGTCTGGGATCAGGGCTCGGGTGGTTGCTCGCTCCTGACTCGCGTCTCCTTCACCGTTGCAGACACAGTGTTCTCCCGAGTGGAGGAAGAACACCTCTGGGAGTGTAAGCAGCTGGGGGTCTACTCACCCTTTGTCCTTCTCAACACCCTCATGTTCTTCAACACTAAGTTTTTTGGGCTGCAGACGGCTGAGGAACACATGCAGCTCTCCTTCACCAATGTGGTGCGGCAGTCCCGCAAGTGCACCACCCCCCGGGGCACCACCAAGGTGGTGAGCATCCGCTACTATGCCCCTGTCCGCCAGCGGAAAGGGCGAGGTATGAAGCTGCCCCTCTTTTGCTTTCCTCCCTCTCTGCTCTCCTCTTCCATGCTCCATTTTAATGACTAGGTTGGCCCTCTCCTTTATCACTGTCTTCCCTGACCTTCCATTCGTATGTTTGCAGAACAGGTAAAAACAGCCAGTCCTTCCACCTGATGACTAGTGGCTCTTGCATAAATAGGAGGTCACCCAGCTGCCTGTTTCCACCTTTCCTCATTTCAAGGCAGTTGACCTTTTCTACTTTTGGCGGGGTAGTGGACAGGTGGGAAGCTGTTGGGTGTGTTGTCTGTTGGGAGAGAGTTGACAACGAGACAGTCGTTCCATGGTTCTTTGCTGTTGGGCATTATAAGAACTGCGCCCCGATTTCTGTTCTGGCTCTGAAATCCTGACCCACAGTTCCTTCTTGGAATCTGAGCCTCTACCTGGACTACTTTAATGGGAGTTAGGGCTATCGTGCTTTTTTTTTAATCCCAGAAGGTAAGCCGATCCTTGTAACAGGGCAAGATTGTAAAGACTTGGCCAATGTAAATGGGATAGGAGGAGTGGGTTACAGAGCATCAGCCTGCAGTTTGGCTGGTGTGGGAAGACCTACTGACTCTTCTGCCTTTATTTCTTTATGAGCCTGTACTGTGTGTCCTGAGGCCTTCCCACTGGACTTAGAGTGGTTTGTTGAGACTGTGGTTTTAACAAGTCTGAGTCATTTGCCTCCTCTACAGACATGGGTTCTGGGAAGCGGAAGAGAGAAGATGAAGCCCCTATCTTAGAGCAGCGTGAGAACCGCATGAATCCCCTCCGCTGCCCTGTCAAGTTCTATGAATTCTATCTCTCAAAATGGTGAGTTGGCAGGTTTGCAGAAATGGCATTAGCATGGGGACCCATGGGATCCACTTTGCCTCAGTACTGATCTGTCCCACCCCACCATTGCAGTCCTGAAAGCCTCCGGACTCGCAACGATGTGTTCTACCTGCAACCCGAGCGGTCCTGCATCGCTGAGTCACCTCTCTGGTACTCTGTGATCCCCATGGACCGAAGCATGTTGGAGAGTATGCTCAATCGCATCCTAGCTGTGCGTGAGATTTATGAGGAGCTGGGTCGTACTGGGGATGAAGACCTGGACTGAACCCATCTGTATCCATCTTTCACACCAGTGTCTGGCTTGTCACCACGTCCCACAGGGCGACTGGCCCGGGAACCAATGCTACTCATTCTGAAGGGCCGTGAGTGCCCTTTTCTACTCATCCATTCCCTGCCTTCCCTAGGAACTCCTGGCTTTTACCTTCTTCCGAACCATTTGACAACCAAGGGGCCCCAGTCCTCTGTACTTGAGGGCTGATCAACTAGTGATAGGCAAAAACCAGCTAGGCCATTTTCTTTATGCTTCAGAGTAAACCTCTTCTCCTGGGGCCAGTCTCTGGATGGAGTGTTAATAGCTCTGGTGATCCTGTTGGCTTTGGGTTTCCTGACCCTTCCCACATAGGTTACAAACCCCCTTGAACAAAGCCCCTTGTTCCTAGATTTGGCCAAGGGAAGAATCCAGCTGCCTTCTCTGCCCTGTGCCCACTCCTCCACTCTTCTCCAGTACCATGCTAAAGGGGCTTGTATGAAAGATATGAAAGAAACTCGGAAAGTAATGAGGGGGACCATTTACCTAAAACACAGAACTTAGATACTCTTCCCCTCCCCTGAGATACTGGTTGTTGGAACCCCTTGGCTACCTTGTTTCCCCTCCCTACCCTTGCAAGCACCAATCCTTGGTGCTGCAATTGAAAAAAAACTTCCACATGCTTCTTTTCTTTAAAGGCAGAGAATGACTAAGTATGGGGAGCAAACTTCTATCCCCTTGGTTTATGTGTTTGTCTCTCTCTGCCATCTTAGGTTGATATGAGCCATGTGTCAACATGCTTAGCCCCCTTCTGTAACGCCTCCCTTTAGTTCAATGGACACAGTTCCCAAGGCAAAAACTACCTTCTGATTTGGGCTGGGGCTGGGTTCCCCACTCTTGTTCTTCCCCCATTATAAGAGCCAGGCCACGCCTGTGGGGGACCTTGGGTCATACAGGATGGGATCTGTGGTTAAAGAATAGGGAGGAGCTGTGGACCTGTGTCCGGCCTCCACTGCCTACATCTATCTTCTCTCTTCCCCATCTTGCTTTTGTAGTTCCAGACTATTAGTGTCCAGCAAAGGGGGTACCCAGTTCTTTTCCTGTTGGCTTTGCTGTTTCCTAGCCTCTTTTTGTGTTTTTAAAACTGCTACCAGTTTAGCCACTGTTTAAATTGTATATATTGTTCTGCGGTATCTGGCCTATCCCTTCAGTGAGCCATGCCCGCCCTTGTGTTGTAGTGAGAAGCTGTTGTCACGACTAACCTTCTGTCTCTGGAAATTGTTTGTTTCAAATAAAGAGTTAAAATTGTCTCTTGCCTTTTCCTGGGGAGGAAGAGCCGTGTTTGGAGGGGTGAGGGATATGGAGAAGCCATGCCAGACAATGTCAAATCTTTTAGGGCATGAAGAGTAGTGTCCCACCTCAGTTTGAGAATCATTTTTACCTACCTCACTGAATGAATCCACTTGGAATATGGTCCTTTTCACAACAAGTTTCCAGACACAAGGGAAAAATTTATCCCACAGCTAGCTATTAAGTACCTACAATGTTTAAGGACCTAGATTCAGAGAAGACAAAGATTAATTAGACCAGGATCCCATCCCTAGCAGGTTCCCAAGCTAGAGGGGCTAGGATGAGATCAGTGCATAGGTAGTTGTAAGATACAGAAAGAAAGATCCAGTGCTGTGGGAGAGTAAGTAGAAGAATAAGGAACTCTAAGGTTATAGGGAGGTTAACCTTATAGTTCCTTAACTATAAGGTTAACCTCCCTTATAGTTCCTTAACTATAAGGTTAACCTCCCTAACCTGGCCCTGTAGCTCAGTTGGTTAGAGTGTCATCCTGATATACCAAGTCTGTGGGTTTGAAGAAAGAGATTATAGGGAGTTTGTATGAGTTTTCTGAACAAGGTGGCGTTTGACCTGGGCCTCAGTAAGTGGGAGGAGTTGGGGACCAGCACAAGCAAAGGCTGAGGCTTTTCCAGTCGGGGAATTACAAGATCAGATATGTTGTTTTAGGGAGGAGATCCCTAGAACAATATGGAGGACAGGGACGGTAGCAGATCAGTGAAAAGGTATGACAAGTTATGTGGGTATACCAGTAAGCGTAACTAATGGACACAGACGGGTGAGGGCATGTGCTGGGGGGTGGGAGTGGCTGGGAGAGGTCAATGAGGGGAAAAGGGCATATGTAATACTTTAAGAATGTAAATTTTTTAAAAAAAAGCCATCCTGAAAAAAAAAAAAGTTATGTGGGCCTCAATGGGAGCTGTGGGGATATAGAAAGAAAAGAGAGAATGGATTCATGAAGGTCAGTCTGCAGAATCTGGGGGAAAGGGAATAATTGTACATTGAGCCTAGGTTAATGTAGCTCAGTTGGTTGGTCCTTGTCCTGTGCACCAGAAGGTCGCCGGTTTGTTTCCTGGTCAGGGCATGTGCTTGGGTTTTGGGCTCTATCCCCTGTAAGGGGTGTGCAGGAGGAAGACAATTGATGTTTTGCTCTCACATTTATGTTTCTCTTTCGCAAATAAAAAAGCGTTAAAAAAAAAAAAGATAATTGGCCGGACCGGTTTGACTCAGTGGATAGAGTGTCGGCCTGCGGACTGAAAGGTCCGGGTTCGATTCTGGTCAAGGGCATAGACTTCGGTTGCAGGCACATCCCTGGTGGGGGGTGTGCAAGAGGCAACTGGTCGATGTTTCTCATTGACGTTTCTAACTCTCTGTCCCTCTCAATTCCTCTCTGTGTAAAACCAATAAAATATATTTTTTTAAAAAGATAATTGTATATGAAGCATGAATCCCATGTTTTGAATGGGAGATGCCTTTACCCAAGTTGGAAAATGGACACGGTTTTGTTTTTATTTTTATTTTTTTGGCTGGGGATTGGGGGGGGGGTGGTAGGAAGAGATTGATAACAAGTTGAGGTTTTGATCAAGTTGAGGTTTTGATCATATAAGATATCCACATGGTGGGCAGTGTAACATGGTATAGCAGAAAGAACACACAAACTTGAACTTTTTTTTTATTATTTTCTTCATTTTTAATCTTTATTGTTCAGATTATTACAATTGTTCCTCTTTTTCTCCCTTGAGGCATAGAAGAGAGACAAAGTGTCTATTTTTTCCAGATTTATTGAGATATAATTGACATATAACACCTCCTAAGTTTAAAGTGTGCGGGGGCCTGAAGCTGTGGGGATCTCCCTTTTCCATGTCCGGAATGGAAAGAGAGATGAATGAACCGGTTCTAAGTGAAGGTGCCCAGGGATTGAGAAATATTAGAAATAAAGAGAGAAGACATGGAAATAGATTTCAAGCTGGGAGCTGGGAGGGCCGCTGACCTCCTCTGCTGGAGAGACAGACTGACACCCTCCTAAGGCACGCGGCACATCTATTTATACTCCAATCCAACAAGGGGTTTCACAGGAATACAAGGAGCCTGGGAGAGCCCAGGTTCCACCCACTCCTTCCTCCTGAACAAACACATTATAGTCAGGAACTAAGAACATCTGCACACTCCCAGGGTGAGAGTGCAACTGACATGATTCTGCCAATATCCCGGCCCAGTCAGCAACAATCCAAAGAATGTCCAGGTGTCTTCCCATTTGGCCCTTTACAAAAGTGTACACCATGTTGATTTGATATCCAAATAATTACCATTTCTTTTGTGGTGAGAACATTTAAGATCTATTCTCTTAGCAACTTTCAAGTATATCACACAGTATTGTTAACTATAGTTACCATGCTGTATATTAGAGCTCCAGAATTTATTTGTCTTATAAGTGAAAGTTTGTACCCTTTGACCAACATCTCACTATTTAATCTATATCCCTCCAGCCCCTGGAAACCATGGTTTTACTCTCTGTTTCTCTGAGTTCAGCTTTTTTTTTTTAAAAAAAATATATATATATTTTATTGATTTTATACAGAGAGGAAGGGAGAGAGAGAGTTAGAAACATCGATGAGAGAGAGTCATCGATCAGCTGCCTCCTGCACACCCCCCACTGGGGATATGCCTGCAACCAAGGTACATGCCCTTGACCGGAATCGAACCCGAGACCCTTCAGTCCCCAAGCCGACGCTCCATCCATTGAGCCAAACCGGTCCCGGCTCAGCTTTTTTTTTTTTAAAGATACATTTTTATTGCCCTAACTTGTTTGGCTCAGTGGATAGAGCATCGACCTGCGGACTCAAGGGTCCCAGGTTTGATTCCAGTCAAGGGCACGTACCTTGGTTGCAGCACATCCCCGGTAGGGGGTGTGCAGGAGGCAGCTGATTGATGTTTCTCTTTCATCGATATTTCTAACTTTCTATCCCTCTCTCTTCCTCTCTGTAAAAAAATTTAAGAAAATACATTTTTTTAAAAAGATACATTTTTATTGATTTCAAAGAGGAAGGGAGAGGGAGAGAGAGAGAAACATCAACGATTAGAAATCATTGATCGTCTTCCTCCTGCACGCTGCCTACTGGGGATCGAGCCCACAACCCCAGCATGTGCCCTTACTGGGAATTGAATTGTGACCTCCTAGTTCATAGGTCAATGCTCAACCACTGAGTTACACTGGTCAGGCAAGTTCAGACTCCACATATACGTGAGATCACACAATATTTGTCTTTTTCTGTCTGACATGCATGAGGTGTCAATTAAAAAGTCATCTGCAGCTGAAAGCAGTTTGGCTCAGTGGATAGAGCGTTGGTCTGTGGACTGAAAGGTCCCGGGTTCGATTCCAGTCAAGGGCATGTACATTGGTTGCGGGCACATCCCCGGTGGGGGGTGTGCAGGAGGCAGCTGGTCGAGGTTTCTCTCTTATCGACGTTTCTGGCTCTCTATTCCTCTTCCTTCCTCTCTGTGGAAAATCAATAAAATATTTAAAAAAAGAAAAGAAGTCATCTGCAAACAGCTCCTAGCTGAAGCTGTGTGAGTGGACAAGACCACTTAGGGGAGTAATAGAATGAAGAGAGAAGAGGAAAAAATGGTACCTTGGAAAAATATCTCCAGTTAAGCAGGGAAAGGAACTGACGGAG